TTGTTTTGAAATATCTTTCCAAATTTTAAATGAAATTAAGGATCTTCCAAATGTAAGCTTGACTTGAATTGTTTATCTCGATGAATTTAAATAAACAGAATTTTACTGCATTCGAATTCAAACAACTTGAGCAATCTGAATGAAGCTTAAGCATCTTCTATCTATATTCATATTGAAACACCACTATCAATTCCGTTTGCCAATTACATCAGATTATATAACTTGAAATCGAATAAAGAGATAATTCCATTGGAACTTTGAAATTCATTAATATTAAGTCATCCTTAATTAACTCTATTATATCATCCCATAAATAATAATTTTTCCACGAGAATTAAATGATATCTGTTTTATTATAAAAGAGCACTGTATTTTAGAATTTCATAAAGCATCAACAAATTAATTAGTAAATTAAGAAGATTAAACTTAAAAATATTATTATTATTATTGTTATTGTTTACATCACATTGAAAACCTCATCGTGAATTTTCCCAACGATTAAATACATTACGAAACGATCCTTATCACAATCCGATTTATCATAATCACAACGTTTAACACGCGGTTTCGTCGCGTTTTGTTTATTCCAGCGTCGAACGGCAAAACATGGAGCCCTCACAGGGTGGAGCTCGCTCTGTGGACCCACTACGTGGCGTCTGAGCTGAAGCCAGAGCTGTTGGACGGCATTCCAGGCTCCACAGAGAACGGCAATTCCCATCCGCCCAGCAACGGCGAGGCGACAGAACCGTCGGACGACAGCAATCAGGAAGCGGCACTGAACGGTAAGGAACTAGGCAGTATTGATCCGGCGGCCATCGACGAGAACAGCATGACCACGTCCTTCACCGAAGACTCGATGGATAAACCAGCTACGCCGATTACAGCGGCCGTCGCCAGCGAAGATACAAACGATTCACTCGCCACGAACGACAACGACGACAGCAACAACACTCCCCGACCGACAGACAGCGAGGACACCGAAGACTCGCAGGACGTCCAGGAGCCGCCCACTAAGAAGAGTAAGAAGTGACCCACCGCCAGCCAGGGAGCCACGAATACAAGCAACAACGTCAGCACCCTCGTGTCGGCCGCCAATCTAACGCTGATCGCAGCGAGGCGCTTCTAAAAACCGCCAGGGTCACCGATCAGGGTCGCGGATAGTAGACCTGTAGCCTACCATCGCACCATCACGATCGTTTTTTGATGATTCTCCTTCGCTCCTGCTCTCTCTCTCTCTCTCTCTTTCTCTCTCTGTCTCTTTGTCTCTCTCTCTCTCTGTCTCTCTTCCTTTCCTTCCTACTCTTCCTACTCTATCTCCATTCTCTTTCTCTATTTTTTTCCTATTTGTACTTGTTCCTAATTTTTCTTCTTCCTTCCTTTTCTCCTTCCCTCCCCTAAGTTATTTATCCGCATTAAATTTGTAAGATTCCTCTTTGTATCCCACTCCCAGTCCTTTTTGGGACCGATTTTTCTTTTTCATCATGTTTTATAATCCAGTACATCTTTCTGCTCTTATCTTGTAGACTCTCCTGCTATTGTTTGTAGAAATTTTCCTCGAGATCTCGTGTAAAATAGTGTTACTGCATATACGATGGAAAGCGGAAGTTGTTGTGTGTAAGCACCTTGCTGGTTTTTAGATTCATCGGGCTCAATTGGAGGCAAAAAAAGAAAGAGGTAAAAAGCTCGACCGATGTTTCGAAGATTTCCTTCTTTGTTTCTCTTACTTTTTCTTCCTTTTTTTTTTTTTTTTTTTCTTCTTTTTCTTCGCGTTCGTTTTACATTATTGGCCAATAATAGTGACCAAGTTTTTTTTTTTTAGGTCATGAACTTGTAATTAGCATTACAAGCAACAGTTGACGTAACTTTTATACGATGTGATAATAGTAATAGTTACTTTCTTTTCTACGGGAGAATCGTTCACTTTTTAAGACTCCGAGGAAACTTCGAATTGGCGGAGCTTTCTCACTTTTTTCTGCGGCGTGGCGTAGTTTTTAGGGAATATAATTCTCTTTTCTTTTTTTCCATCCGATCGAAACGAGACGATTCCTCACGGTACTGCCTTCTGAATAAACCCGTTCCCTCCTCACTGCTTATTACGCGATAGCAAAACGACGTAGTCTTTAATTAAAACAGCAAGTCATCATTCCTTTTTACCATGATTTATACCGGCGTTTTTGAAGGCCACCGAAATACGAAGGGCGATACGAAACGATGTTGACGCGTGTTTTTAACTTTTTCTTTGTTCTTTTTGTCAGAAAAAAAAAAAAAAAGAAAAACAGAAAAAAAAAAGAAAAAAAATTGAAAAACTGTGAGTGGGGTGTGCGTAGCGAATGAGAGAGAAATAAGAAGGGAAGAGAGAGTGGGTAAAAAAAGAGGAGAGAGAGAGAGAAGATGAGAGAGAACGTATAAGACCGGGTGTGAGAGAGTTATCGAGTAACTGATTCCGTGACCAGCAAGAAGGAATATGATAATATTAAAAAAAAAAAAAAAAAAAAAAAAATGGCGGTACACACACCGAACACACACTGATAATATTAATATTAATAATAATTATTATTATAATTATAATACCGAATCATTACCATAATTTATATATCTTAACAAAAAAAAAAAACTGCATGTCAGAGTGATGCATGGAGCAAACCAAATACCTTGTAAGTAAAAAGAAACTTTAGAAACAAATAAAGGTAACGCTTTTTTGAGTCCACCAAGAATAAAAAAAAAAAAAAAAAACGAGAACGAATGTGGCAAGTGGATGGCAGCAGATCTGCACACGTGCAACATACATATATACATACATACATACACTTATTGCAAATCGTACTACACGTGCATACAAAACGCAGTGATATAGCATCCGAAACACGACAGAATGGACATATACCACACCACACATATACCACATCAAGGTTTTTATGTACAGGGATTTAACTAGTATTTTTGCATTATTAAGGATTATTAATTATTCGAGGGAAAATGAAGACGCGAAGAAACGTGAACGAGGAAGAGAAGGGGTGAATGTCGATGATGATGATGATGATGATGATGACGACGATGATGAGCGATTGACAAACGAAAAAAAAATATATTAATAACAAACAAAGGGCAAAAAAAAAGACGATGGCATGAAATAATAGAGGTATAAAAATGAAATTAAAACTGATATATATATTATATATATATATATATAAAAATAGATATATAGAAAGAGAAAGAGAGAGCGAGAAAAAGTGAAAATGTTCAGGAATGAGTGTACACGTTTGCAAGAGCGATAGAGTGAATGAGAGAGAGAAAGAGAGAAAGAGAGAGAGAGAGAGAAAAGCAGAAGAATAAAATAAATTACTATAGCTTGATCAAGAACGTTCATTCAAATTTTATAAATATACATATATTATATAAATATATGCGTATATTATATAATATATATAGTGTATATGTATATATATTATATAATATATATTTATAATTTAGAACAGCGTGGCCCCCCTCAGACTACTTCAAATACTGACCCTATTAATTAAACGACAAACACGCCGTGGCATGTGTACTCGTTCGGCTGCACGAAAATAAAACAGAAAAAAAAAAAAAA